GAACCGGGGCCCTCTGGCATCCCAAGCCAGCTGTTAACCAACGCACCACTCGGCCGGCCCTATATTTAGCTTTTAATACACAGTTCCGCAAAGTGGGTTTTGGCAAACAGGAAAGGTGAAAGATTTATTTTTACCACAGAACCATTCCTGTATATAGGATTAGTCTGTGGATCATTTCAGTGAGTAATAAAAAGATACCTGATAAGAACCTTTATAATAACACAGTTTGGGAACTCGGTCTTCTGTACCACATGTCCTCCCTTTGGATTCAGCCTTAACTTTCCCATCTATAACTTGATATCACTAAAATTGTGCTAAGACAATATCACATTGCATTATTCCTGATTGCCAGTTGTTGAGAAGTTCTAGGAGGTGTATATTATCCAAAAATATCCATTTATTTGGAATAAAGTTACAACATGGCTATAGTTTAAAAATATTTAATGATTCAGGGAGGTATTTCGATAAATTTACATGGCATTTAGTATTAATTATTATATGTTCAGTATTACACTGTTTTGCTCCTCAGGATGTATGGGCTCAAGGTTCTACTGCCCTTTGAAGTTCATTTGTTGTTATAAACATAGTTCAATAATTTCATTTCTACTGTATCATAAGTTTTTTAAAATAACATTTGTAGATTAACATTGAAATTAAAAATGTTAACATCCAATTTTCCTTTTTCCTTCAATATACAGACTTCCTTTAATAAGTGTCGCACTGATTCAAGGTTGGGCATTGGGTGGAGGAGCAGAATTTCTTACAGCGTGTGATTTCAGGTAGGATGGAAATTGCATTACTGGCTGCACAAATATAATCAACATATGCTCAAATGTAGTTTTTGTTTGAATATAAATATTTGATATATTCTTTTTTTTTTTTTTAAATTGGGGAATTGGGGGAGGGGAACGTGTCAGGGAATTGGGGAGAGGGACCAGCCAAGTTGTTGTTCTTCAGTCTTAGTTGTGGAGGGCGCTAATCGCCATCTGGCTGCCCATCAGCAGCTGGTGGCCTCTAAGCTCAAGGTGTTGTGTTCAATCTTAGTTGCAGGTGGGTGTAGCCACCATCCCATGTGGGAGTTGAACTGGCAGCCTTGTTAAGAGCACACGTTCTATCCACTGAGCCATCCAGGAGGTAGCTCAGCTCAAGGTGCCCAGTTCAGTCTTAGTTGCAGGCGGGCATAGCCCACCATCAAACAGGCAGTCTTGTTGTTAGGAGCACGTGCTCTCACCAGCTGAGCCATCCTGCCACCTGTTGGCAGCTCAGTGGCAGCTCAGCTCGGGCACAACTCACTGGCCCATTTGGGAATTGAAGCAGCAGCCCTGTTACTGAGAGATTGCACTCTTAAGCTAACTCTTAACCAACTGAGCCACTCGGCCGGCCCAATATATTCTTAAACAAAATAACCAAGTGACGAATATTTTCTATTTGTCAGTCATTACAGTAGATAATTTCAGTCAGCCTAGTATAACTACTCCATAATTACTTTATTACCATACATTCAAAAAATTAAAACAAAATGATTTTAAATAAATCATATCTATTTAGCAAAATACCTGGGGAGGAAAGCCATGGAAATATATGAAACTTTAAGATTCAAAATAATTATAAAAGAAAAGTAAAGAAGTAAAAAAAAAAAGAGAGAATGGAGAGAGACTGCTATAGTCATCTTAATCAATAAAAATAAGTTTTGAAATCCATTTCTTATCTTTACTATGATTTATAGTAACTTTATGGAGCTTTTAGGCTGACTGGGGAATAATATTAGAGAAAGTTATTTGGGACAAATAACTCTTCAGTCCCTAGAATTCTTCTTAGTATTGGGTAACTATACTGTATAGATCCTTATAGAATCTAACGCTTTACATATGCTTGAAACTGCTTTCTCACTTACCATTACTAAGACCTACTAGCTCAGCTACAAGGAGAACCAGTGCGATGCTCTTTGATCTGTACAGACTTACACACTTGGCCCTGTTTATAATGCGAAAGGTAGTGTATATAGCATAGCTGAAGATGAAATGGTAAAACAGAAAAGAGCCTTAGCACTGGAATCAGATTGATTTTGGTTCAATCCCAGTTTGACACTTTCATTTATTTGATTTTAAGCAAGTAAGTGTTTCATCTTAGTGTCAATTTCTTTACATATAAAAATAGAAATAATCTTCCTTAATGTTTATAGATTTAAATGAGTTAATGAATATGTAAGTTTTAGCAAAATGCTTCAAGTTTATATAAAGTTTACTGGGATGACAATGGTTAGTAAAGTTACATAGGTTTCAGGTGTACAATTCTGTAACACATTATTTACAAGATGCTACATTTCATTGTGTGAGTAGGAAGCTGTAATTTGCTCTGTGGGCAACATGAAACTAAATATAAAATGCTCCATATGTGAAAGGATTAAAGGGTTTTCTCACTTTACCCTGAAATACAGGTACTTATGGAATATATCATTTAAATATATAATTATATATGTAATATATAAACTATATTTAAACATATAATTTAATACATTTAAAGAAGTCTAAGCTATATGTGAATGTTTGTTACACTTAAAAATCCTGTACATAAACAGAAGTGTAAGTTAGAACTTTATAGATGTCCTCTGGAGAAAGTGTGTTAATCTTTAAGCATTTATTAGACTTTTGCAGTATCCTTCATATCATTCCTGATCTGTGTTTGGGTTTAATTAGGGCCTAGGACAAAAGGCAAAATCATAGGAAAATTAACTAGAGGCTATTTAGTCCTTTAATACTGCTAATTTGCCTTGCTATGTTGTTTTTTTAAATGAAGGAAGTGTCCTAGAGCTTCATAAAATATTTTTATTGGATAGGAGATGTCTGAGGTTACTGGCCTCATCAGATATATGAGGCCATATATATCCAAGAATATACAGATACATTCACTTGTCCCATGAAGACATGTTCATTTGTGGACTAACTACTTGGCATATGTACACCCTCATATTAAATTGCATTCAGTTGAGTCATTCATTGCACATATATTTACCAGCCACATATGCTAGGCACTGCTGTTCTAGAAACTTGTATGTCTTGGTGTTTTGTTTCATTTTTCTAGTAATATCGTTTCATTACATTTTACAAAATTATTGGTCCACAACCAATGAGAAATTTAAAAAAAAAGTAGAAATTGATCTTTCACAATAGGAATTTAAAAAGCACTGTCCTAGACTCTTCAGCCCTTTTTAACCTACACAACACAAGCAAAAGTTCTTAACACTTAGAGAGGCTAATAGAGAGGATTGCATACTGAACTACTAACATTACTAACCACAGTTACAAGGAAGTGATAAATCAATACGATTTACTCTAGCTGATTTTTCCCCCAACTTTATAGTACCTTGTCAGCTGTCTTCTGTGACAAATTGCTTTAATTATATTCTACAAATATCTGCTTGTTTCAAAAACACCAAAAACATTTGTGGCATCCTGCTAAAAAGCTAAGTTCCTTCCTTAAGTATATATGTTGGCCCTTCTTAGCTTAACTTTCTTATGTTGGACAATTGCCTGGAATTCACTCAACTGATATTTGCATCCTTGCTGCTCTTTCATTACCAATGGAAAATATTTCAGTAGATGAGAGATACACTTAATATGAATGTTCCAATGAAATGAGCTCATACAGCATTCTAGCATTACCCCATCCCCTGCCCCCAAACCCTATAAACCCCAGCCGATAATACATATAATGGATTAATATGTCAGAAACTCCCAGGTATACTTGCCGTATATAGACCCTCATATTAAATTGCATTCAACTAAGTCATAATTTTCATGTAAAACAATCTTAGAGAAAATGACTTTTTTAAAAGATCTTTAAAAGCAAAACATTAACATGAATTAAAAGTAGCATTCCTCAGTGTTCATTTTCTAAGCACTTAAATGTTTCCCTTTTAGTAACAAAATTGGTGTGAGGGAATAAAAAACTAGAACTGTGATCAAATAATTTGCTTCTAATTTTTTAATCTGTCTTTAATTAAAAGTGTTTAGAATGAAATATAAATTAAGAAAATATTTGTTTGAGCATTAGTTTTTTATAACAGCCATAGCAAAGAACCACAATGTGTAGCTCCCAAGCCCATCTGGGCTCAACTGGTTCAGCACATCGGCTGGACTGGGCTCTGATGACTGAGGGACAATTCATTTCTAGGCTCATCCTGGTTACAACTGGGAGAATTCAGTTCCATGCATTTTTAGGACTGAGGTCCTTGTTTCTCTTGCTGACTCTCAGCCGGGGCCAGTCTTTGCTCCCAGAGGATGCCTGCTTTCCTCTTGTGTTTCCTGTGTGGCCCCTTCCAACAACAGTGGATTGAGTTCCTCTCATACCTTGAGTCTTGTCTCGTTTACCCTTCTGCTACATCTGTCTCACCCCAGCTGGAGAAAGCTCTCTGCTTTTTAGAGCTCATATGATTAGATTGAGCCCAGTGAGATAGTCCAGGACAATCTCCATATTTTAACGTATGTAACAATAATTACATCTGCAAATTCCCTTTTGCTATGTAAGGTAATATATGCACAGGCTCCAGGGATTAGGGCATGGATATCTTTTGTGGGACAATGTATGGGTTTAGCATAAAGACTCTAGTTGCCACAGTTTTTTTGCCAACTTTTATTTTTATTTGATCACCAATGAGAATTGGTAACTTTGTTATTTTAAATTAACCTTTGTACATTGTATTTTTACTTTTTAACTTTTGTTTAGTTACTTTTTAGACAATAATAGTTCCTGTGTATACTGCAGTTCTAAAGGTTCAGTGACACATTAAGTGTAATTAGGTATAGTGGGGCTTCTTAGATTGGTTTTGAGCTCAAGATTCAAGAATGTGCTTTAGGAGGCACTTAGAACACTCATTCATTGATTCCACTTTCTGTCTTATTTCATATCATTCAAAAAATTGGTGATGTCCCATTGGCATTGTTCATTCATCTCCTTCCCCTGGGTTGGACCCTCATTTCCCGCTATTTCTTCCTCATTTGGTTCCTCTGGAACTGTGATAGTGTCAGATGCATGATGCAAATCATAGTAACCGCAATGCAAATAAGATTATAATTGGCTAAAGGTCAGGTCCTGGTCATAGGGATTAGGATTAGGCTTGCTGGATGAAACTGGTTCTTGTATTTCTCCAGCTGCAGATGCTGGATAGTCACCGGTTACTTGTGTAACCAGTGACGCATGTCGCATTGTCAGTTTCCTAGGCTATCTATGCTGCCTCACTTGGAGACTGCCTACTACATAAATAATATCCATCTAATTTTAATTTTTGTGCTACACTTACAAGATTTAGGTATCAATGTTATACTTACTTCATTAGAAGAATTGTGATGTTTTGTTCATTTTCTATCTCAAAAACAAATCTATATGGCATTGGAACACCGTGATATGTAAGGGTTTGGTAAAATTTCCCTGTGAAGCTGTCTGGGTCTGGTACTTTTTTACTTTTAATAAGTCCAATGGCATTATAATTCTTTTGCCCTTATATTGGGTTGTCGGAAAAGTCATGATACATTTTTGCAATGAAAAACAGAAAAAATATGTCATGACTTTTCTGACAACCCAATGTTATTTAATTTTTTTTTTTTTTTTTTTGCCCAGAGGCCTTGAGTTTTCTCTGCCTTTAAAGTCTAATACTTTTATTAGGATATGTGTCAGAGTTGATTTTTAGAGTCAATTTTCCAGAATATTCAATAGACTCTCTCAATATGTGAATATTAGTTGTTTCAGTCACTCCAGTGATACATCTTCTTTGCCTTTTTCT